CAGCCCAGAAACCAACTGCATCCTGGGCTGCGTTAAAGGGAGCATGACCAGCAGGTTGAGGGAGGTGATTCTCCCTCTCTGCTTTACTCTCATGGGATCCCTCTTGGAGTACTGCATTCAGCTTTGGGGACCCCAGAAGAAAAAGGATGTGGAGCTGTTGAAGCAAGTCCAGAGGAGGGTCATGAAGATGACCAGAGGGTTGAAGCACCTCTCCTATTGAGATAGGCTGAGAGAGTTGGTCTTTTTCAGCCTGGAGAAGAGAAGCCTAAGGGAGACATTAGAACGGCCGTCCAATACCTATAAGGGGCCTATAAGAAATCTGGAGAGGGACTTTTTACAAGAGCATGTAGTGACAGGACAGGAGGAATGCCATTAAACTGACAAAGGATAGATTTAGATTAGATATTAGGGAGAAGTTCTTCCCTGTGAAGGTGGTGACACACTGGCACAGGTTGCCCAGAGAAGCTGTGGCTGGGCCCTCCCCCACAGTGGTTCAGGGCCGGGTGCTTGGAGCAACCTGCTCTAGTGGAAGGTGTCTGCTCATGACAGGGGATTGGAACTGGATGGTCTTTAAGGTCCCTTTCAGTCCAGTCCATTCGATGTTTAAAGGCAGGCTCTTGATTAAAGTTACGGAGTGTTTGACTGGGTTTTCCATGCAAGTCTTTCTCTGGATTAAGTCTCTCAGAATAATTATGAATGAAAATCTATTTCTGCTTCTCAGTTTTCCTTCTTATGTGGATAAGTACTTAAATGATGAAGAGATGATGGTTACAGAAATCTGTAGACACTTTTATCATGAAAGGCTACAGTATACACTTGCATTCTACCTGGAGCATTCTCAAATTACTGCCCATTACCTTTTACAGGGCTTCATGTAACTTTAATTCTTTGCAACTGTCACAAATAATTTTTAATGTGCATGTAATCACATCCAAGTTTCTCTCAGCCACAAGATCTCTCTGAAACAGAGAACTTGTAAACTATAAAAACCTACCTTGGTAAATAGATTTATGTAGTCAAAGCTGTCATGGAAACTTGTTTTGTAACTTCTGAACATTGAGGTATTAACCTGTCAGTGATAATGGTTATAAAACCAAGCCATTTAGTTAACACAGCATGCAGTTTTAAGTAAGATGATCTTTTGAAAACTTGTTTGTAACAGAGCTGTTATGAGACCTTTCATATAGGGCCCTTCATTTGAGTCATACTATGGTAATTTGCATGGACCTCTTGCAGTAATGACTAAGAGCTAATTAAAATGGAAGATATTATATAGTGTGCACCAACTAATTACTGCATTTGTTGTCTCCATGAAGGATATAGCAGCCATTCTGTTTCCATTTTAGAGTATCTGAATGTTTGTGGCATACCTAAAAATAATGAAAGGCAAAATCTTAAAAAAGCTAAGTAGCCCTTGTGCTAAGGCTTTGCACTGAAGTGTAATTCATATTTCAGTTTCAAGTATTGCAATTTTTTATAAAAAAGCATTGGAGAAACATGTTGACTTATGTTTCACTCTGGCTGCCGGGCTGAATTCTATCTTCACTAAAAAGAAATACACCAAAATTCCAACATACAGTAAGGTATTCTGAAAAATACAAAGATTTTTATTCAGCATTTCAAACTTTTGAGAATGCTTATCCTCCGGAAACCTCCGTTCATATTGGCAGGTTCTCACATCCTCTCTCTTTCCCAATTTAACTAACCCAACACCACACCACACCTGGAAGGAAGAGGCCACAACTGTATTTACATTGACAGAGATCCCATGAAGACCAAAAACTGGTGGGGCTTCATAAGCTCTTAGTTTCTGTCTCCATTCATTCTTATACCTGAAAACTTTAACTTTCCCTGTGCAAAATACAATCTTCCAAAATTAGGTGCTTGATAAATTAAATGGGATTGACATTTTCAATTTTGCAGTACCTTATCATGGAAAAAAACACACTTGAAATTAGTGCTGCCTATGTCAATGTGAAGAATTGTTTTAATAGTTAAATTAATAATAGTATTTAGCCTATGCTTGTTTAGGATCTTGTCTCTTTTTGTAGGAATGTTGGTTGACCCAGTTGAAAAGAATTCTTATTATTTGCCTAATTTGCTGCTGTATGAAAAGTGGTATTTTCCTCGCTTTTATTCCTACAAAATAAAACATTCGGCTATGCACATGCCAAGCTCCAAGTAACTGACAGCTGTTAATTCTTAAAGATATGACATACCCTAGACTGTGACCATTTTAGTAGAAGCTGCATAGCATTATTGCAAAACTGTGTACTGGGATTAGAGGAAGTAAAATTTAATGCAGACTCTTTATTTAAGCTGTAGTTTTCCTGCTTCTGCAGTGTTAACTGGCATGAAAGTGGTTATGAATTTCAGTATAATTGCTGGGGGAGTTTACCTGTGTAGGGCTTAGTGGGTATGAAGTAGCAATCAGGGCTTCTATTGTAGTAAGGTGATAGCAGTTGGTTACGACAGCTAGTCATACAGCTTGTAACCTTCTTACTTAAGTGAGAAGACTGCATTTTACAGCAATGGTTGAGTACTTGGTGGTTATTAAGACAATAGTAACACAAATCTGTACCCCACTATTTTCAGTATCTCTATTGTGGTCTTTTTTATGTAGGGGAAAGGCATGTCAATGTGGATCTAATACACTGTGGGGGAGGGGGAATTCTGTTTTTGTTACTGTCAAATAATCCCGTTTTTTCTTTTTTATATTTTTAGGGCTGGTGGACTGGGTCTTAATTTTGTTGGTGCCAATGTTGTTATATTGTTTGATCCTACATGGAACCCAGCAAATGATCTTCAAGCTATTGACAGGTATATTCTCAAAATACAAAACTTGTATTCTTCTTTTGCTTTGATTCTTTAATCTGATTGTCCAACTAGAATTTTCCTCAGGGAAGAAATTTTTAATATAGTCTTGCTTGTCCACAAGACAGTAAGAAATGTCCAGCTAAATTATTTTTAGCGTTGATATTTTAAACCCTGAATTTTGTTTCTTATTTTCCATTTTATTTTTGTTGCACTGTTACGTAGGGTCATAAAAAAACCCAAACAAACAAAAAAACCCCAAGCAAACCAAAACACACCACCACCCACCC